CTAATTATATTTTAGATTTTTTATATTTAAAATGAGATGTTTATCCTGTATTTAATTGTGTTTATCTGCATTTAGTTACACGAATTCAGATATGAGATGAAATCGGATAGGGATGAATGAGTTTAAGAGTTTTTAAGAGTTTAAGAGTTTTAAGAGTTTTTAAGAGTTTTAGCCAAATGCTTTATAATATAGTATAGATATAGATAACCCCTTGATTTATGACTTACTGGTTAAGTCTTAAATAAACCCGCTTGTCAAAGCCTTATCATCATGTGGTTTCATCTGTGATGGTGACTTGTGGTCGTTTGAAGGATGACTTGTAAAATGGTTCAGATACAAATGATTAAAAAACATCAATACAAATTTGTATATTTATATTGTGTTATAAAATATTTGACAAAAACTCTTAAAAATTATTTTTTATGTATGAAGTACTGTATATTGATGCATATTACCTAAAATTCAAGATTATAAGTAAATTATATATAAGTACAACTTACTAAAGTTTTATGTTTGAATTTATGTAACTAACTGTGGGTTAACATAATCAAATAGAGGATAAACATTTTATTTTAAAATATAAAAAATCTAAAATATAATTAAGATAATTATTGAGTTCTAATAAAATAATTAATTATTATCTTTATAAGAAAATTATATTATTAAACTAAATATAAATTATTTCGTTATTGAACCTAAATTAAATTATAATAAAAAAATTGAATTAAAAAATTACACAAAAAATAAGAATTTTAAATAGTTAATTTGATACTATTATCGATATATTTTTGTCAAATTTTTATGATATCTTCAAGTTTATATTTTATTCAAAAATAAAAATATCGTTTTTTTTTTTAAATCACATAAGACCATACTATAACATCGACTAAGATGAAGAATAAAATAAAATATTAAAATCAAGATGTATTTTGTTGTATTGTAGGCGAGTACCCTTCTAGCATACTCAAATTTATATCCATTTTCCAAAAAGGTCGGTACATACTCAAATATATGTCCATTTTTGTTTGTGTTTATCATATAATAATAATAATTGTTATTATTATTTTCATTAAAAATTATTATTTAAAATAGATCATTATCTTATTTTAAGTAAAACATGTCTATCACTTCAGGAGGCCCCAAACAAGGGGCTGGCCAGTCGAGAGCTGGTGTTTTGCTTGCTCGCTTTTGAGGGAAGTAGTGAGCCCCTCAAGAGCACGCCAACGAAAATATATATATATATATATGAAATTGATGTAACTTGCATAGCTTGCTAATATAATCATTATTGGTGTATTAAATCATTATATAAAATATTCTCAGGATTTTTATCCCAATAGATTTTATAAAATCTTTTTTAAAATAGGAAAAATAAAGTGAATGTTTTTAAATTTAGAGAACTCTATAAAAATGATTATTTCAAAAATAGATTGATCTTTAAATATAAGTATTTTTTGGTATAATTTTTTTTAATTTTACAGATGTAAGTATTTTTTTTGTTTAAAAAAAGTTTAGAAACTTAATTGTTCAAGGTATGAAAGTCTATTGGTTTTTTTCAAATTTTTTTCATTATTTTACCATATTAACCAGTTTTATAGGTTATAATGATGTATCTAACAGGTTTTAGAAACTTCAAAGAGTTATTTAACGGGTTTTGAAATCTCCAACCACTTATATAACTAAAAAATTATCCAAGAACTTAATTATTTCAAACACTAAAGTCTATTGAATATTTTTAGACTTTTTCCTTTAAACAATTCATTACATTGCTAAATCTCTACACCTTTCAACTAACTGGCTATTTGTTTACCTCTTAGGGGGTGTTTGGTTCATGGAATTTAGTGGAATTGAAATGTCTAAATTTTTGACCAAATTCCAAATCTCATGTTTGGTTCACATAATAGATGTGAAGGAATCCTTCCAATTCCAACCAATTCCCTAATTCATTGATTTCACAATTCCACCACATATACCACGGATTTCAAATTCCAATCCGATAAATTCCTTAGCCCTCATCCATTCATCGACGCTGTATCTCGATTTGCTCTGTTCTGCTATGCTCGATCTCCTTTGCTCGATCTCGTTTAAAACTAAGAATGACAACGGGCCAGGTTCGGGTCGGTTATTGGTATCCCCGTCCCAGAAACCGATAACTAAAACCATCCCCATTACCGCCCTGATCCCCGTCGGGGATCTTATAAGGTCTTGTGGTTTCCCCGATCCCCGTTGGGGAACTCGTTAAGATAAAAATCCTCTTTTTCCCGTTCACCGTTGGTTGTAACCGAACCCGAAACAAATATAAAAATCCTCGAATTTAATATTATATATATATATATAAATTAAAATTAATATACATAAACATATCAGGCCGGGGCGGGCCGATGATCACCATCCCCGCCCCCGTCTCGGTTAAAATCCCCGAATTTGTCCCTGATCCACGCCCCGTCCCCGATAAGATGTCCCCAAACCCAGCCTGAAAGTTTCGGTTTCAGTTTTTTTGCCTGTAATTTTCTCGTTGAATTCCGTGAACGAAACAAAAAAATTCCAATTCAGTTAAGAATTCCATCCCGATTCCATCCAACCAAACGCAATCAAAAGACATGGTCAAATTCCATCGGATTCCATTCTATTCCCTCAAAATCAAATTCATTTGATGAATTCCATTTTACGAACCAAATGCCCCCTTAATAGTTCCACTAAGAGACAACAATTGCTAAGAGGTAACAATCGCTAAAAAGTAAATTTTGTTTGCTCTCTTAATAATTCTAAGACCCTTTGAACGATTTTGTATCTTGGACCTCATGAACCATTTAACGCTTTAATTTCATTATAAACAATTACCAATCAACCATATTTCATTTTATACTATATCAATAAAAATCTTTTAATCATTATAATATTTAATTATCATGTATCAAATCATTAACAACTGTAAAATAATTTCTAATAATAGTAGGTTGTACGGAGAGGCTGCATGAACGGCCCATGGTTTCTTGAATTATTGTTGGTGCTTCTTTTTGCATTTTACTATTTTAGTCGTGAAACATATTCTTCTACTGTTGGATAATGCTATTTTTATTTATATTTTAAAATATTTAATTTCTTAAATTTTGGTGTTTAAATAATTTATTTTATTTTTATACAAAAAATACCAAGAAATACAAATTATTTTATATAAAAATAATTTTGAATAGTAAAATAATAAATAAAAAAGTATAAAATAATTAATTATTAATAAAATAAAAAAGGTAGTGGGACCAAAGAAGAGCAACGTGTATGACAATTATCATCCATATCCAATCCAATTATCCGCTAGAGCTTATCCCCTTGGGTGTTTGGTCAAACTCATATAAACACATTTTTAATATCAAAATATATTCGTACAATAAAATGAAATATATATTGATTTTAATAATTTATTTTATTTTGTTTCTATGAATATTATAATATTATTTTATATGGTTTTAAAAAATAAATAATTTTTTTATTTTTTAAATAAAATATAAATTTAAAGATATCATAAAATTTTGTAATTAATATTAAATTAATTATTTAAAAGTTCTTGTTTTATGTGTAATTTCTTTAATTTAATTTTTTATTATAATTTAAATTTAATAATGAAGTAATTTATTTTTGATTTAGGGGCTGTTTGACAATTGCTGAATGATTTGGTGCAGAATGATTAAGAGACTCTCATAATATAGTGCAAAATGAAATATAATTGTTTGGTAATTGTGTATAATGAAATTAGGGCTCTTAATGGTTAAGGGAGATCCATGATACAAAATCATTCAGATGGTTTTAGAACCATTTAGAGACAGACTTTTATTTTGTCAAACAAGATTCACCTCTTAATAGAACTATTAAGAGGTAAACAAACAACTCTTAGTAATATAATTTTTTATAAGGATAATAATTAAGTATTCTGTTAGAACTTGATAATTATCCTAATTATATTTTAGATTTTTTATATTTAAAATAAAATATTATCTGCATTTAGTTACACAAATTCAAATATGAAGCTTTAATAAGTTGTATTTATGCATAATTTTTTTGTAATCTTGAATTTTAAGTAATATGTATCAATAAAGAGTACTTCATGCATAAAAAATAATTTTTATAAAAGTTTTTGTCAAATACTTTATAATATAATATAGATTTTTTCCCCTTCTAAATATCCAAAAAAACTCAAGAAATCTTGAATGTAGAATCATTCTTATTATTAGAAACAATTGTGTGATGATGATTTTTAATGCAAATTGTTTAGAAAGTATTTGTATGCGTATGTACATATTGTCCAAATAAATGATTATCAAAATGTTTTACAGTTTTTTATTTTTTTACAGTTTTCCACAATATATATATATATATATATATATAGTTATAAGTGGAGGTTCAAACGAGAACACCTCCATTTTACGAGAACGCAAGAACACCCTTATCACATGTGATAATACGCGTGAAAGGACCTGTGATGTGCGGACGACGTGTTATACGACTTTGGCCGCGCCAAAGGTTGTCTGCGCCTATGATTTAGCATCACATGTGATGATTTTGATGGATTATAGTATCATATCAACAACACTCTTATCACATGTGATAATGCTTATGAGCGGGCTTCGTGGTGTAAGGGCGACTTGGCCCGCAACCAAGATCGCATCGAAAATCGTCCGCGTCTCTAATTTAGTATCACATGTGTATCATATGTGATGGAATAATAGTATCACATGTGATTATCTATAATTTAAAGGTGTTCTCATAAAATAAAAATGTTCTCGTTTAAACTTTTTCCGTAAGGTATATCTATAAAAATGGTGAATCTTGATTAACATGCGTGGTTATTTTTGTAAAGATGTTGGATTGAAAAAATGTAAATAAAAGATGGGGAATTAATTTTGCTAAATTGTGTTCATCCATATCTATATGGTAGATGAGGCAAGTGGCTGGACTTGGTAAGACACTAATGCTGGTTCCACGTACCAACAACTGTTTGCCACGTGTCTACGCTTTTCTTGCTATGCATCCTAATCCATATTTATATGCTCCCCCAGAATGGCTCATATCCTATCTTTGATCTGTTTTTCATAAACACTCTCATCATTAATCTCCCCTCTTTTGATCCATTTTCAATACAATGGTAATGGGTGATGGAAAAAGGCACAACTTTAAAGACCATCATCAAGAATCAAATGAACATGAACAACATCATCATCATCATCAGCAGCAGCCATGTTCCTCCATTGAAGAAGCTTCAACCATCTCAAATGGATCATCATCATCTGATGATAATAATAATAATAATACCTTCTCGTCTTCATCATCTTCTTCTTCTTCATTTGATACAGCAGATGACGATGATGCTTCTTCTTCAGCTAATTCCAGTAGATCTTCTTTATATGATCTTTCAGACCTCATGTCTCAGTTACCCATCAAGTAAGTTCTCCATTTCATTTTACTGAAATGGGTATCTGTTGATATCAAAGATTTTAATTTCATTGCTTTTTGGATCAAGAATCTGCATACTGAAATGGGTATCTGTTGAAATGATTGCAGGAGAGGTCTCTCGAAGTTTTATCATGGGAAATCAGACTCATTTACATCTCTTGCAAGGGTGACGAGCATAGAAGATCTTCCAAAGAAAGATAAGAACCCTAAATCCAGCAGCTTCAGATCCCACACCCTTCCTAAACCAATCATCTCAAAGAAAATTTCCAGAAAGAAAAAGTTCCCATCGAAAACTCGAGCTTTATGAGTAGATTCAGACCAGATCTTTTGGTTTTATCATGTTTGTAAGAGAGTTTTTGCTGGTTTTTTTGTGTAAATACAAGGCATAAGATGACTGGATAACTCCTTTTTCCTTATATCAATTCATATATCAGATATAGATGTAGATAGATACAGAAGAAGTTCTTATAAAAATCTAAGAGATGAAGATGATTAGATTAAATTCAAGTCAAAGATCATCAATTTGATGTTATACGATCATAAAAACAGCAGAGATTGATGTTTCATTTCAATCTTATACAAGATCATGTTGATTTGATTCATGGAGACTTGATCGCCGATCGGTTTTGTATTCGGTTCGATCTCCTCACCGGAGATGGTGTCACTTCTGCGTTTTTCCGTCTCTGTTACGAATCGAAACACGAAAACATCCATCAATAAAACATCCATCAAGATTACTACTATTTTAAAGATATGAGAGTTAGGAAATTTACCGGTTTCTTTACCATCTTCTCAGCAGTATTCTGAAGAGAATCTCCCATCGACGTCTCCATGCGAGAGGATCTCGTTTGGCCAGAAGAGACGGTGGTGGGGCGGGTATCCATTGACATGGTGTAGCTTTTCATATCATTACTTCTAAAGGAAGAACTCGTTACTTCACCTCCAAACACAAACTCGCCTAGCAACTCGACCGTTGGTGCGTGCACGTGGCTACTTTCTTTAGAAACGTCTTTCGGCGTTTGATGAACCACCAAAGATGCGGAATTCGCCAACAGTCCTTCTGCCATCAGTTGTGTCGAAGATGGAGAGGGTTCAAGATTCTTGATTTCTTCTTTTCCAGCCACTAGATTCTCATTGGCAACCATTGTTGCAACAGGAGAAGAGGGTTTCATTTTCATCCATCTTGAATGATAAATGACACCAAAGGATGTGAGAATAAGTATAGAAAGCCCAATTAGAACCGCAACAATTGGATCGAAACCCGCCATTCCAATCAACACATCAGTAGTTTTTAGTTCATCAATTAGATCGAAACCCGCCATTTCCTCCATGTCTTTTGCTGATTCGGTATCATCAATTGTCAATTCGGATTTATTTTCATTTGCATCAGATTGCTCCTCTTCAGTAATAACACCATCGTGATTCGAATTCTGATGCAAATCTTGATTCAAACCTTGATCAGCCTCTACATTATGGATTTCTATCCCTTCACTTTCGTCAATTTCATCCTCTTGCAAGATTTCAATCAACTGCAACTGATCAATGTCCTCTTTTTGGCTCAAGATTTCATCCTGAATGACATCTATTTCACCATATTCTACTTCATTATCGAGAACCCCTAATTGGGCTTCCAATTCTTCGGTAGTTTTAACCGCATCTACTCCTTCCTTCAATCTTCCCACCACTAAACACGATTCCCTTATCGAATCTCCAACTTCAGAGAAGTTTAAACCCACAACTCCATGAACATTACTCCATCTTTCACTGTACCAATTGTTAAACCGCCCCACAACTTCTCGAGTCTCTGAAGAAGGGCTTGGAGAATTCATTGAACATATAGCTTGGGTAGTTGAAATCAAAGCTATCACCACAAGCAAAAACTTCAAAAATCCACAACCTTTATCTTCCCCAAATTCACCCATCTCTTCTTCTATTTCATCTTCATCATCGTCATCTTCACCTTCACCTTTTTGTTCAGCCAAATCCGTGGCTTTTTCTACAGATTCTTTTTGAGAACAAGAACCAGTATCATCTTCTACTTCACCTTCTTTATCCACCATATCCATGACTTCTTCTACAGATTCTTTTTGAGAACAAGAATCTGTAGACCCAGATGAATCTTCCCTTAATTCTAATCGAACAGAAGTTATCCCAGAATCAGAAGAACTACTACCACTCCTAACACCATCTCCATTATCTTGAAGAACAAAGATCTCCCTACGCCTATTAGGGTTGTATCTCAAGAACTTAGGCCTAGGGGAAAGGTAATTCTTAATAGGATCATATGGCTGCAAATATGACTCACCAACAAAATCTTTCTCCACACCATCATCAACAGCAGCTTCAACAACAGGAAATTTTACAGCTTTTGAATCAACAACATCTAGTGTCTGATTCCTTTCAGCCAAGATTTTCTTTTTAAGGAAAGAAGTCTTATTAGCTGCAGATATGGTGGGACTCATGAAATTCTTGGAGGGTAATTGGTTCTTCAACTTGGAAGCCATTTCTGGGTTCAGTTCATTCTCATTGTTTCCTCCTGCATCTATATTTCAAGTTACTAGACATCAGAATAGATAAATTCAATCATACTAGGTTAAAACAAATACCCTTTTGACAAAATTTCAAGAAACAGGTTAATCGGTGAATCATAAAACAGGTATCTCATGATAAGAGTCAGATATATACATACATATATACATATATATATATATATATATAGAGAGAGAGAGAGAGAGAGAGAGAGAGAGAACACGTACCATTGAATGAGGGATTGGCAACTGGAGAGCGTTTAACAGAGGTTAATGAAGTGAAGTTGTTGAAATCTTCCATAACTTTCAAGAACTTCGAATGATTTTAAGAACTGATTGAATGGAACGTTGGACTGAAATGATGCTGGAAATGAGATGGATCGAATGCGAACGAGAAAGAGAAAGAGAGGGGATGAAAATGTTACCGTTACTTTTGTTGGGCGATTCTAATAAAGATGACCCATTTTGAAATGTGATTCTTTTTTTGACCGTTGGAAGTGGGACCGTAGTCTTCTATTTGAATTTTGCACACAATCACATCTCAATTGGCCCATTAACGTAACGGATTAACGGGCCATTAATGTTTTTCTATTCACGAAAGCCCAAATCCAAATACAATACGATTTTGCTTTGGCCCAATATTTGTCTAAAATAATAAAAGAACGAAAATATTTTTTTAAAAGATCAGTAAAATTACAACATTACCCAATCTTTCATTATAAATAGGGAAAAGTACAATAAAAATCAATGGACTTTCTTGTTTGCAATGATTAAGTCCTTAGACTTTTTTTTGGAATAAATAAGTCATTGGACATTTCAAAACATGTTAAATAAGTCCTTGGACAATTTTTTGGAACAAATAAGTCCTTGGACATTTCAAAATATGTTAAATAAGTCATTGGACAATTTTTGGAACAAATAAGTCCTTGGACATTCCAAACAATGTTAAATAACTCCTTGGACAATTTTTGGAACAAATAAGTCCTTGAACAATC